AATCTCTGTTCCCATCCTGGAAGTTCTGGGCCACTTCGTCGTAGGGAGTTTCAGGGGCAGCAGAGCGTAGCTTTCAGCCCCTCTTTCCTCCTCTCCTGGTAACAGGGGTGGATGGTGCAAACAGTTGGTGCAGAAACAACAATCTGCAGGAGCAGCTTCGGAGAGCTGAGCCAGGTGGCAGCTGCCAGTGGAGGGCTCAGTGCTGGGAGGTGGCCTCTCTGCATGTGGATGGAGCAGTGTGTGAGTGGTCTAGGGGGTAGGGGCCGCCCTGACCCTCGAGGCCAAGTCCTAGGCTCCGTTTGTGTCCTGTTGGGTCCTCTTCCTCCGAGGGAAAGTGGCCTGATGCTGTCAGCTAGGCTGAGTCTGGAATCTGGAATGGGCAGCTTGAGGCCAGCAGGCGTGACCTCAGAGGGAGGACAGCTGGGGCAGTGCTGCTTTCCCTGCCACCCTCACGACCTTCAGGGCCTGAAACGAGGCAGCGGCATCCAGGCTTGGAGCCCAGGCTTAGAAGAAGCCTGTGGGACAGGGCCTTAGGGGCACTGCCTTCTGAGGCCTTCAGCTAGTCTAGCTGGGACTGTGGCTCAGTCTCACAATGGCCTGGGTGTCTCCAAGGGGCTGGGGTACACTCTATGTCCACAGCTCTTGGGGACCCTCTCCCTGGGGCTTTTTAATCCCATAATAGTCCTTGGAAGTAAGACTCTGGTGCTCAGAATGGTTTGTAGCCTGTCCAAGGTCACCCAGAACCTGGGTCTTTCTGAACCTGGGCCCAACCTCTGTGAAGGATGCTCTACAGTGTCACTACGTGGGTAAAAGCGCAGGGCCTTGAGATCCTGAGCTAGACCTTCCCAGACAAAGACTTGAGGGACAACAGTCTCATTGAGCTGCTCGGGGAAGTGCAAAAGCCTGATCCCGCTTTGAGCACACTCGCTTTGGCTTTTAGGAAAATAGCTCTGGTTTCTTGACATTTTGTGTTTTTTTAAAAAATTAGGATTTGGGCCATTTTGGTTTGAGGTTCAACAAGTCAACGTGGCTTGTCTGGCTTTCTGTCTGCCACCTGGCCTGCTTCAAGGACAGAGAAATTTTCTGTTTATAAAACATGCACAGACGGGCTGCCCGGCGGTGGTGGTGGCATCTCATTTCTCTCGGCTCCAGCTCCTTTCCAAGGGAGCGGGTAAGTCCGGTCTTCTCTGTCCTGGGCTGGTCGCTTAAATGGGCCTGGCCCGGGGCGACTGCGCGGTGGGCACCAGCAGCCGGGTAGTAGAGGGGGAAGTATTGGACATGGGAAGCCGTTCACTACATGTGCGAACTGAAACTCATTGCTAATGACAAAAGTAACACATATACCTGGTAGGAAACTAAAACTCTACAGAATTATTTTTAAAGTAGACAAAATGAATGAATATGGATATAGTGCTTAGGAGAACAGTGCTTAAAGGAAATGAAATGAATTAGTATGTACACAGTGCCTGGCACACAGTGAACACGCTGGACGGGCTTATTAAATATAAATAGATGAAAGTAGAAGCAACTTCCTCACACTCTAGATCTGCTGTCTCCGTCCGGAAGCAGCCAAATTAATAATTTCTTGCATGTTCTTCCAGAAATTTTGAGAGCTTATGTAAGCACATGGGCGCACACAGTAATTTCACTTTGTGAAGGGAGAAGAGAAGGTTATAAAACAGCTTTGAACAGTATGATCCCATTTTCAAAACAAACAAACACGTGTAGAAGGTTATCTGGGAATGAGGCGGTCAGAGTAGGAACGGCGGTCACCTCCGAAAGGTGGGATTGTGGCTAGGTTTTCTTTTTCTTTTAGTCCTCTTTTGCTCACTCCTTTTATAGTTCTAAACACTAATTAAAGAGGAGTGCACGTAACTGAGTAAGCGAGTAGATGACTCCGTGGCCCCTGGTGTTGTAAGAGGGCCGTCACGGGGTTGGCCCAGACCGCCTCCCCTTGGCGCCCTGGGGTCTGCCACTCCGTGATCTGCACTTGGCTCTGCCAGGTAGCTCCAGACTCCCCTAGGGCCCCCTGGCCTGATGATCCCACCAGGGTTAAACGTCCAGGGCAGCCCCACACATGCTTCCCAGCTTCTGCTGGTGTTTGTTTTGCCACCTCCATATCCACCCAGCAGTTGTGAGGAAGAGACCCTCCTCCGTATGCTGGCCCGGCCCTGGGGGGCCTGACAACCCATCAGGGAATGAAAGCAACACCCATTTGAAGTGAATCTACTTATGCGTCCATCCTGAGACCCCGAGTTCATGGCCTGGGTCCCTTGGCCCTGTCAGGCAACCCCCACTGGGTGTGCCTTTGAGATATGAGCAGGCAGGTCGCTTTACTTGTAGCCCAGTCTAACTCCTGCAGTGGCCAGGGGAGCAGGGGTCCTGGAGGAGGGTCCTGAGTGGGCACTGCTGACCACTCCTGACTTTGTATGCAAGTCTGAAGTCAGACAGACCTGGGCTATGAACTAGGTGCTATTGCTCGCTGGCTGTGGGAGCTAGAGCAAGTAGGTTTCACCTTTCTGAGCCTCAGTTTCCTCATCTCTAAAATCGGGTCCTTCCTCACAGTGCTAACGTATCTCCATTCGCAACTCATTCCTTCAGTACAGATTTTTCCAAGGGCCTTCTGCATGCCAGGCTTTACTAGACCCTGTGCGGTCTGCAGACATATAGGCCTCTACCTAGGATACCAGGCAGAACAGAAGACGTGCTGTCCAGTGGTGAAAGCATGGGGGCAGCAGGGGAGGCTTCCTGAAGGATAGGAGCTCTGACATGGGGCTAGTGGCTGGGAAGGAAAATGTAGGAGTTTTCACAGCCCTTCTAAATATATGACTTTGCCTATGTCTCACAATAGTAGCAGAATTCCACTTTTGCGGAGGGGACTGGAGGTTGAGCTTATTTTTCAGCCAGGTTGAGTTGGATGATAAGTAGAGGGGGGGATGCCAGACAACAGAGAACAATACTGAGTCCTACCCATCCTCCCCTCTGCTCTTGTCGGAGGGTAACTGGTTGCTTCGGCTTGGAAGCAGGAGAGCTTGAAAACGACCCCAAAGATAGCTTTCCCTGGGTGATCTGTCTTCCCGCTTTCCCACTGCTGCTGCCCACAGGGTTGGAAAAGACAAGATCTTTGGACAGAGCAGCCTCCAACCACAGCTCTGCAACATGCACACTGGAGATCTCGGGCAAGCCTCAGTTTGCTCATTAGGGAAATGGGTATAAGGGCAATGCCCACCTTGCCAAGCTGCTGTGAAGATTCCAGATGGTGCGAGGCACCCACTTAATGCCTAGCACATGCCAGAACGTCTGAGGCAAGGCTGGGGCCTCTGCCAGTGGGGCCCAGTGTCTGGACTCAAGACATTGTCCTTATTACAAAGCCACACACCAGGTCCTAGCTCATCTGGGGTCCACGTGAAGCCTGGGGCTCCGGAGAAATTTCATCCTTTTATTTGGCTTTCGTCTTCCAGACCCTGGCTGAAGACGCCCACCCACCTGCTGCCCTGCTAGGCCCCCATCAGGCAGAGAAATTGGGGACCCTCGCAGAGAGAGGAGGCAGCTGTGAGGCAGGGGCCAGGAGCAGAACTGGGTTTGCAGGTGCGAGCTGCAGGAGTGATGGGGTACCCAGACGCTGTTCCTGGGTGATGTGTCCCTCTGGGTGACAGGGTCAACCATGAAACCTGCCCCAGTGCTCTCCTTCCCCCAACACTTCCCAGATCAAGAAGGCTGGGTTTGGTGTTTCCCCTCCCTCCTCTCATCTGTAAAATTGAGACATTACAGTTCCAAAATGGGCTTTGAGCCTGTAAAAATTAATCCGGTTTGGCAGGAGGTCTGCAAATAAACATATTGTTTCGATTGGTGTTGACATTTGGATTGTGAGAAGGTTTGAAAATGTAACTGTAGTTGGGATTTTCCAGCCGATCCAAGTTTTTCCGTGGAGGGGGCTCAACAAGCATAAACTAGTGGCTGGGAGAAGGGCTCCTTTAAACCAGCCCGGGGCACTGGGCAAGGCTGGGGCGTCGGGATCTGAGATTGCGCTTACAGGAGACACAGCTCATGCTCTTTGGGGGCTGGGGTGGGCATTTCAGGGTGCCAAGCCTCTCCCGGCAGTTGGGGCAACCAACCCACTCCAGGAGTGCCTAAAACACTTAGAGCACCTACCGTGTGCTGGGCACCTTGTGGTGCAACCTCATTTAGTCTTTGCACCAGTGGGCAAAGTACGCATGATTATCTCTCCTTTACGGACTGGGACACTGAGAATCTGAGAGGCTAAGTAACTTGCCCAAAACACACAGGAGTAAAGTGGGGACTTGAACTCAGGCCTTTCTGGCTCCTGATGGTTTGCCCTACACCACCTACTTTATGCCAGGAACTTTCTGGAAGGTTATCTCACCAAGAGAATGGCTCTTTTCCCTGGGAAACAGCTGAGCCTGAACTGAGGTTACCTAAGCCTGCATTGTGTTGGGTTGTTGAGACAGCTAGCTCCATCCCATTCCCGGGACCCTTGTGAATTTAAGTCTTCTTTTACACTCCTGCCACCATGGAGGTGGGTCTTGTCCCCCTATCAGCACTCCACGCACCAGGGCTCATCCTTCAGTGGCTGCTGAACCCCCAGAGCCTACCCCTCCCACCCAGCTCCAGCATCCTCAGTCAGGCCCCCGCAGAGAAGCAGCCTAGTTACCTGCAGGAGGGGACAGCCCTATCCAGGGTAGAGGCGCACACAGCTTTCAGCCATGAATCCAGGATGCTGGCCGGGTGGGAGGGGCAGGCACCTCACTTTTGGGAAAGGCTTGGTGATGTCTGCACTTGGCAACTTGCATGTTCCCCAAGGCTCAGCTCCCAACCTCTCAGCTTCTGAGCTGCAAACACAAATTTCCAGTGGCTTCAATCCATCACCAGGGCTCCCTTCTCTTGTCTCCTTCTCAATACTCTGTGCCTGTCCCTGAATGGCTGAATGTAGCTGGGAAACACACTCACCACCACACTGCCTGGTCTCACTCTAGCCTCACCATCAGGAACCTCCTGTGGGCCAGCAGTGCTGACTGGCCATCCTCCAAGTTCATGGCCAGACCACTGCTTTACCAGGTGTCAAAGACCGGATATAGCAAGAATCCTCAAGGGCGGGGCCTCAGTGCTACGTGGGGTAGGCCCCCAGCACCCCCACTCCCTTTGCAGCCTGGAGGACAGGAAGGGGGGCTCACAAGATGGCAGCCCAGGGCCAGCCCCACCCCCTGGCGTCATGGGGTGGTGGTGACCCCATGCCTGGCCACAGTTCTCACTGTCTTCTCTGCTCTAGGGGTAACTGGCAGCCTCCTAGGGGAACAGGTGAGGGGAGTCTCTCCCACAGACACCCCAGGCTGAGAGAGACCTTATCTCTGCACCTGAACACATAGGGGCAGAGACCCCTGACCCCTGTCCCCATTTGGTTTGACTCTTCAACACCTTATGCCTCATATTCAAAGGCTCAGAACCATGACCCAAAGCTTAGGGTGTTGGGTGTGGCCTGAGACCACTCTGGGAGCAAGGGTTTGGGCTTCGATCAGTCTGGATGGTTTCTGCTTGTGGGCTGGCTTTGCCTTCAGGAGGGTGAACCTCCACCTGGGTCTGAGGTTCTGGAAATCAGGGAGGTTTGTGTTCATTTCAAGGTTCAGAAAATCACTGTGGTTTGGGGTCATGATGGGGTTTGATTTGCATGCTTGATGGCAGTGGTGGCCTGTGGGCTCAGAGCTAGGCCTCTGCAAGGTCCCCGTGGAGTCGAGAGAAAGACATTCTGGTGTGTCCCTCTGGGTGGGGCATGGCATGGTTCTGGGACGTGAGATGGAGAATTCACTCTCTCATCAAACTTCTTACCACAGAGCACACCTGCACATGATTTCCATGGACTCCGGGGAGGTGATTTGGGGAAAAGCAGGAAGAAAGAGCTGAGCTGGGAGTCTGATGGCTCTAGAAACCGTGATGCGAGTGAGCAGCCAGGTGTCAGCTCGGAGGCTTCCGTCTGCCACACACCCGCTGGGTGACTTGGGCGAGCTGCTTAACTTCTCTGAACTCCAGCTTCCTCATGTCTCTTTCTAAGGCGGTTCTGAGGATTACAGGGGATAACGTTTGTAGAAATTCACAGAGGAGGCCAGAATGTATTTGTTTTCACGAGCTCTACAAAGAGGTTATGCCTCATTAATCATGTCCTTCCCAAGTTAGCACAATGCTTGGCCCTTCTCGAAGCCAGATGGGAGCTGGCCTCGTGGTTGTTACTGTCAGTTTTAGTGGCGAGCCTGCTGCCCTGATCGGGGCTCTGAGTTGGAGCCTGAACTGCCCTGACTTGCTCTGCAAGGAGCCCTTCTCTCTGGGCACAGTGGTCTTCCTGCCGTGGACACTAGCCTTTGGTTACCTCCCAAGGATGTTCCCCATTCCCAACGAGGCCTGTCACCTCCTGCCTCTGAAATGGACTCAACCCATTTCCATCTTCCCAGGATGAGTGGGGGGAGCCTGGCTTCCCTCCCCAGGCACAAGGAGTTCCCATAATCCTTGGGTTTGTCAGTTTTGGATCAGCATGCTGGAGATTAAAGCCCCTGGTAGAGGGCCCTTGGGTTTCTAGCTACAGTTCAAAATCCTCAGTGCCATTGGCCCTGAGAGTGTCAGCCTAATGGCCTTGAATTTTGGTCTGTAATAATACTGGCTTTGATTTACTGACTTCCTTGGCTTTCTGTTCTGGGGACTTACTTAATCCCCACTGCGGCTCTGGGGCATTATAGCACAACCCCATTTTCAAGATGAGGAAATGAGGCTCAAAGAGGTTAAGTAACATGTCCAAACTCACACAGCTTGTAGTGGCCGAGTTGGGACCCAGAGCCAGGTCTCGGGCTCCATGGTGAACCATCTATTCTGCACAGATTGGAATGAAGGGGAAGCTGGTGCTTAGAGACCCTCTAAGCCTCTGATTTGGTCAGTGGCCCCAAATCTCTCGGGAGCCCTTCTCCATCTGGAACAGGGAGGGTGAGGAACCCTTCGGCCAGAAACCCATCTCCAGCCTTAGAAACGAATGGCTGGCTGCTTTGCAAGGCTGTGTTCTCGCAGCCTGTTCAGAAGGTACCACCAGTCATGAAAGGTGAACTCTTGTGAGCAGAACTGCCTGGGGCTGCATCAGAGGCTGCACTGATTAACTCACTGTGGCCCCTTTCAATCCCCTGGTCTGTTCTGCCACCAGAACCAGGAGCCTCAAGATGATAGCCACCTGCGCCCTGCCTGGCAGAGGAGGTACCCAGGCCCTGTCAATGCCCCAGTGTTCCTCTGGCATGGCCCTCCTCAGAGTTACTTTGCCCTCTTCAAAAAGGATCTGCTGCTACCCCATGGGGGCATTACAGGCTCAGGGTTCCTTGGGTGGGAGCACAGAGGCCTTTTGTGGCTGATAAACAACCTTTGACGGGAGAGTCACGTTTGCATATGGAAGGACACAATTTACTTGTCAAAAACATTTTTGTTTCCTTTCATCCTGTTGAGTGGGAGTAAAATGATGCAGGAAGGTTTCTCTCCCAGTCTCCATGCTCCTCGAGACTTCTTCTCCTGCTCCCTCTTCCCTTCTGCGGGGCCAGCCACCCCCTTAGCTGCGCTGAGATGTCCCACTGAGTACCCTCAAGTAGCTCCTCAAATGCGCCCATGTCTCTCTGTTTCAGGCTCTCAGTCAGCATCTCTCTGAAATAACCTGGCGCCTGGTCTCTGGGCTTCCACTCCTGCCTGCCTTGGATCCTCATAGTGACCAGGATGACCTTGCAAAATGCCAGTCTGATCCCATGAAAAACCTCCTGCCCCTGGATTTTCTGCTCTGGCCTCCTTCGGGCAGGTTTCTAGCTCAGCACCTTTGCATGCACCGTTCTCTCTGCCTGGAATGCTCTTCCCCCCAATATTCACATGGCTCCCTCCTCAGCTCTAGGTTTTCCTGAGGTTACTTTCTCAGTGAGATTTTTGTCTTTCTATCCTGTTTCAAATGGCAGTTCCCTCCTCCAGCAGATTTCAAGGTCCTACACCTAAATTGATATTTATAACTTTTTATTCTTTTTTATTAAAGTGTCTACCCTCTCCCCTCCCCAAATTATATAACCTTCAGGTCCCATAAAAGTCTCTGCCCCTTCATCTGACAACTTACCTGTTTTTATTTTGTTTATTGTGTCTCACGCTCTACCATTAAAACATAAACGCCACCAGAGCAAAGAATTTTGTATTAAAAAAACGTTTTGTTCTTAGGATCTCGAACAGTGACTGCACATAGTAGGGAGCTCAATAAATGTTGCTGCATGTATGTAAGTCAACTCCAAGTTCATACTTCTTTCAGGGTTTCACATTCCTCTTAGGATAAAGGCCAACCTCCTTAACACACCCTCAATGCCCTGCCCTTCTGTCTGTTCCCGTTTGTGCTAAGATTCGAACGCAGGGCCTCTGCACATGCTGCTTTCTCTCCCCGATGTTCCTTCTCTCCTCTTGGTCCCCGTGTTCTTCAGGTCACTTCCTGAATGCTTGACCCTGGCGTCATGTGCGCTCATAGGACCTTAGATTTTCTCTCGATGCCACTTGCCACCATAGTTATGTACCATCACCCACGCCACTGCTGGTTGAGTATTTATTTCCCCTTAAGGACTGCAAGCTCAGTGAAGGCAGGGCCGTGCTTGTCTTTGGCTGTGTTCCTAGCATAATGCCTGGTACGTGATCTTTTCAGTGATTCAGTGAGTAGCTGCTGAGGAAATGGGTGAAAGAGAAAACAGTGGGGCGAGACAGGAAAGAGGCACATATCAAATAAAACGATCACAGCATCTATGGCCCGTCAGAGCTGGGAGGGCGTCTAGAGGTGATCTAGTCCACAGCTTGCAGACTGAGCTCTCCAAGGCATTCCACTGGCTGCTGCTGCCTGCGTGGGAGCCTGTGTGCACATGTATGTATAGCATGTGTGCATGTGCACATGTGTGCAAGTGTGTGTGCACATATGTATGTGTATGGGGGTCTCAGGGAGGTGAGAGGAGTGGCAAATGAAGAGATAGGCCTCAGACCCCCATTTCCACTTCAAACAGAGCAGTCCCACTTTTATCTGTTCGCATATTGAACTTCGGCTTCCGATTTTGTTTGAAAAGAAATGTTTCCAGCGAAAACCAAACAGTGAAACTGCCAGTCTGAACAAAACCTTCTTCCCCGGGTACATGGATGGGTAAACTGAGGCCCATCCATGTACCCAGGTAGAGGTACTGGCCCAAGGTCACAGAGTGAGATCCAAACCCCCGGCCTGGGGCCTGGACCCTGATGCCCAGCTCACTCTTTCTGGTTTTGGCAAAGCATCGTGTAGTCTTGGCTGTGACCAGGGGGCTGAGCACCTGATTGTCCTGGAGTTTATGAAAAAGCCCCAGGGATCACCAAGCTTTAATCCCATCACGTGGATCAGGAATCATTTTATTTGCAAGAGACATGATTTCCTAGATGCATGCAGTAAAAATCACCAAGTTGAGCACATGTACCCAGGAGGATCTCTCGACACAGGGAGAGAGCTTTCTTTTAAGTCTTCCAGGTCATGTTCACCGGCCACGTTCATCTAGAGCAGGGGCAGGGAACGTCAGGCCCACAAAATCATTTGGTCTGGCTCTGCCAAGGCAACTGCAGGCGGGACTTGAAATTCAATAAATCTAGGAGTTTTTATCATAGCTAATTTTTAAGTTGATAATTTTGTTTGGCCCTCGAATAATGTTATAAGTATCCAAATGGCCCTTGGAAAAGAGGTTTCCCACCACTGATTTAGAGTATCGTCTGGAGGAGCGCTGAGCAGATACACAGCAGCAGATAGCAAGGGGTTTAGAAAACTTTGTGGGAGCAAAACCTGGTGGATGTGGATGTGTGAATATGAAAGAGAGAGAAAAAGACCATTTCTCATATTGTGATGCTGAAACAAAATACCCGCAGCCAGTGGGATCTCTATGAGGCAGGAAGAAGACCGTTATTTTTCATTCTTTAAAATAAAATTTTAATTTATTCTCTGATCACAGAAGTGATAGGTACTGCTGAAGCAGAACAAATACAAAAGTATACATGACAT